CTACGTTCGGAGAAATCAAAACAATGTAGATGTGAAAACAGCCTACTCGTAAGTAGTGTACATAATTTCACACTAGTTAATAGTTGAGTACTTCATCATCATACCCTGGCTAAAACGCACATTATTTTTTTGGAAGAATATGAAAATGGCACAACCCATGAATTCTAGACGAATATCTAATTACCTGTAATATCTATTCTACTTTACCAAAAGGTGCACGGATTGAAGAAGCGTTAGTGATACGAAAGTATTAAATCATCTGTGAATGCCAGTTTCCCATCTGATCTATCTTAACATTTCCACTATTAGTAGTCCTATCCTATTCAAAAAGTTTTATATGTACACCATCCAGTCAAAGTCACACCTTCAATTACTATTATTACAAATTTTAGTCCGTTCCTATTCTCTTACAGACCATCATTCATTTAATTGAAAAACCTGGAAGCACTTGACGGCCATTTCGTTCTATTATGGGACTCCTCAGCAGTGCGCATCCACGATCTCGCCTTGCAAGTGAGATTCGATTCCATGGTGGTCTAGCTTCAATTGACTCATGATTTCAACTATGAAAATCTCCACAAAACCCCTTCTGATTAATTGAAAAAGCTACACTACAATTTCTTATTTTGTAGTTGTCACACATTTTCAATTCAGTTTAATGACTTACATTTATGGCTATTAGTATAATCTAAACTTCATAACTTCCACTTATCATACAGATGGGCGTTAACAAATAAAACTCTGAATTAATTTGTGTTGAAGAAAAGATTACCGGATAGCTACATTCGTTGTAAGGGACAACTGCTTCCATCAATGTACCTGACTTTTTTTATTGAAAGGTTTAACTCCCGTGGATTTAAGTGAGCAAATCAAGTTGGTGAGGCACAAACTCAAGTATAATAGGTACGTCTTTATCTTATCCTCCATGGATTCAGCGGCTTTCATTAACTAAAGAAACTAAAATAAGTCACTATTACCTTATCTATTACTTGACAGATAGACTTTGATCTTTTGGCACATAATTATCTACACATCCTCTAGGCATCGTCAACAAAAAGAACTTCAAACTAGTTCGACTTACTGACCAGAGGGATCAAACTACAAACGATAACAGGGATAATACTAAGTAACAGATGCATTTTTGCTAAAAGCTAGTCTTCCAATTTATCAGACTAAGTAATCTATTTCCTAATATGCTATTACTTGGTTTTAAATTCGCCTGTAGCTCCTCCGGGGGCTACTACCGGTTCCAAGCCCGGATAAAGTAGGAGGGTTGGGCATGGGGTTAGCGACCCCATCCCGTAGAAAACTAACTCGCTAAAAAACGCTAACCAGAAGTAAGTAAGTATTACTTGATTTAATGAAAGCTGACTTCCACTTCATATAAAATATAAGTATTACATCAATTTCCCTATTAAATCAGCTTTAGTAAAGCAAAGAAAGACATAATGATGAGACCTCTCGAGTCCTGTTATGATTGTTATGTTCTTATGCTCTGTCAATATCATGTGGTAGGACCACCAATCAGAACACTGACTTATACGGCCTTGGTACTGTATCAACCAGTGATGGCGTTAACCAGTACAAACAGCTTAGAGTCAACTCTGAGTCCTTGTTGGTTCTTCTCACCTAGCCCTATATGTTTGAGTTCAGAAAACAATCTCAGCTCCCATTGTATGAATTATATATTTCAGACTTATGAAGTTGCTTAATAGTTATCCAATAGGAATATATATGATAATAGTCCATAAATAATACCTAGAAGCTATCGTTCATTTATTCTTCCTTGAGATTTAACAATGATACCACGGTAATGGCTTTGTAACATGCATTCTCGGCATTTCCAGGGGCAACAGCAAGTACAGCACTATAGTACTTTACATTTTGACGGTGGGGAGCGCGAATCATAGAAGTTAATTATCAAGATGCTTGTAATTTAAGTAGACCCTATATTGGTGGTATAATAAAATCTGTATAATCGACATTGAGAAGCTTCTTTCCAAGTAAAAAAAATCAACATCACCCCCGCGTATATTCTTGAGATATGTACACGAAATGTTATTTATGAAGAAATGAAAGAATGGTGAGATTGATAAAGTGGACTAAATACTTTGTTGATTAGTTGCAGATATACTTACAACGTTGACTTTTAAAACCAAGAACATGTACTTAACACTAGTTTAATATGAAATTACGCATCGCAGCTCGTTTATATTGATCACTTTAACCATTTAGGAGTTGCCTTAAATCAAATAATCTAATAGTGAATGACGTTTCAGCGTAACTAGCCGTCTGTGGTCTTAGTGTCAATATATGAGCTACCCAGGATGTATAGCAACTGACTCCACTAGGACGCAATACAAGTGTGATATACTGAGATCTGATCGCAAAGCAACACTCAAATATACTAAGACAACAGAAACAAACATGTTGAAGTAAGGAACAGTTCTAGGTAACTACTTATCACAATTTAATATTTATTGTAGCTTACCCCTTCTGTTGACTAGGTAATCAAGAACACATCATACGAATGACTGAAATGGGTTTCATACAAAGTTACGCTTGGGGGAAAGTTAATCTCTCGCTTCTGAATCCTCAAGTACAGACGAAGACAATCGCTCTAAGCTACTGTATAGTATGTTGGCAGATAATAAGTAACTTGAAGGAAATATGTTACATGTTACTATCTACCATGATAAAAGATGTTACTGGGTGTAGAAGTAGGGCCGTTGGACCATAGATAATCAGGATTTAAAATAAACCAATAAGCCCCCGAATGCCCTGGTACGGCCGAGAGTGGGGAGTCCGCTCTCCTTCTCCAAATGCTCTCACATGGCCACGCGTATATAGCCTCTGCCACACAAGTCCTACTCACTGCCTTCTCGTGACATTACTGTTGTTTACGAAATTAAGATTACGAAAAGCGAATGCCCATCACTTTAACTGGGTCGGTGGACACGGAGGGTCCACCTAGGGGGGTCGGAAAACCCTGATTCCAAACAAATGGTACACATGGTCTCCAGTATCCTAAGGGAAAAAATGGCGTATTAATCAATCGTTGATCAACGGCTACCATGGGACTACATCTTCTCACGATGCTCCACTGCTTTGTGGATCAGACCTTTAGGTCGAAGGTTCCGGGTGTGGCCCCTTAAGAAAACCACCTGTTTCAGTTTGGGCACCTGGGTAGTATCACAGCCCTCACACAAATCAAATGAGATTTGTGTGGCGCATATATATCTGGTGCTTACTTGTACCAATATTTGTGTTTAAATAATAATAATAAGCTTTACAATCGTTATTCTGAATAGGACAGAAAAATTTTGCTTTTTAGACGAGTTCATTCGAACATCAGAAGTTAGTTGTTGGAGCCTCCAAATTATGTAAAGATTTATAGTTCCTGAAATGTACTTCAAAGTGATCCTCGGAAAATCTAGTCCACTGGATTCCCAAATTTATTCAGCGAGGTTTAATACTTTTCTGATAAGTATCAACTTCACTGATATGATGAATTTATCATGGATATTTTACACCATGAAAGGGCATCAACATTTTTGAACTGAAAGAGTAAAAATAAAAGCTTGAAGAAAATGATAAGAAACTGACTTGATGACCGTAACAGAATAGTATATTGTATCGACCGAGCATACCTTTCTAGTCCTATTTCAGTCAGTCAGTCAGCTACAACGTAGGTCCAGGCACATATATGCATCGGTTCAAGTTGCCATACCTCACTCATTAGCAAAACAAGATGAACACCAAATTCATAGAAGCAGTTAATTTAGTAGTGGTAATATATAGAATAAAGGTTGTATGTAAAGATATAGTACAGGAAGAAAGACATATATGAAGCAATTTTAATCTCACGGTTTAAGGGAAGACAAAGACTGTATACCCCTACACCATTGTGATCGATTATGAACCATGTCACTCACATAGTCTCCAACCATTGGTTACGTTAGTCACACGGACCCAAAGTAGTCTGCATCTACCAACATGGCTCAAACTAGAAGTTCGTGACTTCAAGTTCTGATGCCACGTTTTGATTTAACCGCCTCCAACTCTCTTCCAATTATCCCCAATACTAGTCAGCATTGAGCTCTATTTGCCAGACATTAGACTATAAGAGAATAGTATATTCAGAGTTACAAATAATGTTGTTTGTAATAAAAAGTATGGAAAAGAATTAACGAGGCATTCTATACTGAACGATATTTCTTTGAAGTCATTGATCTTTAGTAATATAAATATCAGTCAGTTAAACCACTTCATAAAGTAATCGGGTTTGAACTATATAGAAGGATGTTAGCGGGAAATAAATCGGATTAAGACATTATGTGCATGATCGTGACGGCACACGTTGATTGGCTAATTCTAAACCAATCAGGTCAGGCAGATTATTGGAGAAACATTTAGAAGCTTCTTATGCATATACTATAAATATATGAACGTCTTTCTAATCGATTGATTGCTGTTCACCTCACCCTTGGTATTTTGAATACAATTTCGTCCCTGTTCAACGTGTTCTAATTTTTGGGGTCTTGTCGAGTGTCAATGGATAAGAATACTAAGCAATAGGAGTAGTTGGGTCGTTTATTAGCAAAATACAATTTATAACAAAGGATTTACTTCAAATTCAATCGCTGAGATTTTACAAATATATTCTTCCTATTTAATGTCTTACATTAACTCGGCGCCTAAATACTATGAAACTATTCGCTCTAAATTAGACAAAAGTTTTTATATACAGAATAATTTGTTTGAAACATTTAAATGAAACTTGGAATTTTTGTTTTATTTTTCTTAAATTCTCAATGATATTTGTTATAGCGTGTGACCACCAGGATGCCCTGTGAATGTATGTGATAAGCTCGCCAATAAGAGAACAGTGATTTATCGATCGGACCAATGACACGGGAAACCCATACAAGCAGTCTAGAGTACTTGTCGGTCCTGTTTTCTGCCTAGCCCAGCCAGTTAAGTCCAGAACACCAATAACAGCCTCTGCAATATGAATCGTTATTCTCAAATATACTTGGTTTATATATTAAACAGACAGACCACATCGTACCATAAAATAGAAAATACACATTTGTACAAGATTAAGCCAAATGTGGCTGTGAATAGGGGGAACGGTAATTAATAGATTGGGCATAACTCAGGAATGGTAAACAGTACAATAATAGTCTATGGATCAAAATGAAGCTCACAATGAAAGAAACATGAATATGAATAGTTTAGTTACTTAACAATTATACAATAGAAAATATACCCATAGTACTGGTCTATAAATGAATCTCAAAAGGTACCATTCTATTCGGGATATAACAGTATTGTGAGATTACACAGAAATGTAATGACATTAACAAGAAGGAATATACTTATACACATATATGTATATTGAAATTACTTTCCAAGACTTTACAAATTCTATTATGAAAACAATATACAACCAAAAAACGAATCAATGGAAGACATACAATTGATATAAATAAACTTAACATTGAAAATAATAAACGTGGTGCAAATATTTTCCATACCATTAAATGACGACGTAATAAACCAGTGCTTAACATACAACCTAAGGTCTATAATATATAATAAGAAAAAAAAACTTAAAGGTGTTAATATCATTTGTAATTCTTACATAATAAACAATCAAACAAGTATAAACAAAGATGGATAGTGGCTAGTAGTGGAATTCAGCTACACACGAGTTTCATCCTATTTGGGACTCGTCATCAGCTTCATGACTTCCGAAGGAACTGGGCTTTCATCATGAGACGTCATCATTATTCCTTCAACCCCCAGGGCAGAGTTTAAATGGTTTGAATATTTTTTTACTGGTTAGCGTCTTTTAGCGAGTTAGTTTTCTACGGGATGAGGTTGCTAATCCCATGCCCAACCCTCCTTCTTTATCCGGGCTTGAGACCGGTAGTAGCCCCCAGAAGAGAGACAGGCGGAGTAACAACTTTTATGGGTACATGGAACGTCCGGACAATGTGGGAGGCCGGAAGAGTCTTCCAAATTGCTGCTTGCTTGTTGGGACTCGTCAGTTGGATGTGCCTGCATCTCAGAATTGATGTTCACTGTGGGACTCGAACACTGTACCGTTCGCAGTGAGACTATAACTTATGGACGAGCTAATCAGAAGCGTTTGAGGGTTTTTAAGGTCACAGCGCCAATCTCAGTACCTGATGCATATATACAATCGGTTCACAAAAGATTTTAGAGAAAACGTGACAATGAAGCGGCTACAACAATACAGACTACTAAGAAGTTCCTGTATTTGTAATTGCGGTAATTAGATGATTTGTAGACCTTGTGCAGACTACCGTGATGTTTTCGTTCGATGTAATATATGTTGAAGGAAGGCGTTTGTTAGAATGGGAACCCTTATCGCTCGATCCTGATTGAGACTAAGACATATTATAATAATTGCCGCCAACTGTATAATAAAAGCACCAGTAACATTGGTTGTAATATTCATAGATGTTACTGAAGCTTCGGCTATTCAGTGGTATGAGTATTATAGTGACATATCCATAATAAAAATGATAAACTTACACAACCGGAATACACACAAACAATATTGAAGCTAAGTGTTGAAAGAGTATTCGCGACCTTATCATGGTTCCAGAGACCAACTATTATGGAGTCATATGGATGAATTCCTCTACATTATGCATTACAATTTTGGAACCTTTAAATCTTTTTCTAACCTTGACAAATTTTTGGATCATGTCAAAGAAGTGTATCCACTTTAATTATTTGATTTTGTATAATATATATTTACTCTATACTGACTGTTTACTGATTGACTAACATTTCTCAAGGTCACTTGAGATTCGCTCAAAGGTCGTCCATAAACTATAGTCTCGCCCCGTTCGCTTCAAACACCATAGCGTTGTCCACTTAGCTACTGAGTCCTCATAACCATCTACTTGTGCAATGAAATGAAGTTTTAAATTCATTTGGTGTTGTTTACTACATCTGGTTACTTATAAATCTACTGAGTAACTTATATTCGAAATATGAAAATTTCGATAAGTGTTTGATAAATTTGTTAGTAAAGTAATGCTACTCTATTTTATTTAGACTATTACATGTGAAAGTATTTATGAATGAGATTGTACAGGATTAATACATAAGTTCACTTTAAACTATCTGATATGAACATTGCATACACTATTTCTTCCTATTTGAAACTCGTCAGATGGATGTACTTGCATCTCAGAGTTGATGTTCACTCTGGAGCTCGAACCCAATAACGTTCGCTTCAAGCGTTATCCACTTACCTACTGAGTCCTGATAGCCACTTGCATGTGCAATGGGATAAAGTTTAAACTCATTTGGTATTGTTTGTTTGAATCTTCCCATTGATGTTTAGGACTGCAATTGATCAGTCTCTTGTTGGCATATCTGCATACTGTGTGTGCCTCGATATAGCCTTAATTCACAAGCATTATAAGCAAAGATGGATAGTTCAATGATTAACATTTTCAGTCCCATGCTACTTGTCACATACAGGTTATTTTCTTTATGAAATTGAAACCTATGATATTCGCGATAGTAACTCTAAATTTTGTTTGTTAAACGAAGTAGTTATCAAATTGAATACAGTGAATATTATTGGTTGATATCTGGGCGAGACTATAATTCATGAACGAACGAATCAGATTTAGACATAACAAGTCTTGGATTTTGGAGCAAAATTCATTCATCCATTTGGCAAAATACAGTTTTGGTATTTTAGCTTATGTCACAGTTAGTGATGAAAAACTGTAAATCTAATTCCTCGTCCTTGTCACTGTCAGGCCAAATTGACCGAACCAAGTTCCGACCAAAACTCGAACTATTGGATCTTCGCAGTAACGAATTTTGGTCGGAACTTGGTTCGGTTAATTTGGCCTAACAGTGACAAGGATGAGGAAAATGAAGTACAACGCCGACAGTTCTGAAGAAACAGATGATTCAAGCGCTGAAAACATTGTTCTCTCAGTCTCTAAGGTGAACACGCCTACTTCGTTAAATCTTGTTTTTGATAATGTAAAATCAAACTCAAAGACAGTTGTCCTTTAGTTGACCCCTATGTAAATACTAAACGTAGGGTAATTGACGAAGAAGCAATTCGTAGAGGGTTAAAAGTAGTAAGCATTGAGTTAGAAATTAAGCAGCTTGAGCTTCGTAAACGACTGATACGTTCTAACAAGGTGAGAAGTAAGTGTCGGATGTCTGAGCTATCTGTGTCTCGACCCCACAATAGGACGTCTGAAGTCGTTATCGGCCGCCGATATACCAGAGAAGGCACGAGCAGAGATGTTGAAATTAAAACAGGAGTAGATAATGTTAAGTCACGATATTTTATTCAACGGCTACAGTATTATATTAGTTTCGGAGTTTTAAAATGTGTCTGGGAGAATCATGTTAAGCGAGTATATTCTACTGAAGATGTAGGTAACGTTATTAAAGCTCCTCAAGCATTCTTATCAAATGTACTTACAACATGCATACTAGATGCTGAATCATGTCAACTTCTTAGTCTTTCCCTGAACCCCTTGCTAGGAATTTTCAACTAACATGAAAGTTACATTCATGAGTAAGTTCCATTACTGATAGATATTTTAGTCTTGTTTTGACTAATCAAAAAGCCTAGATATGTCATATTACTGAAAACATAGTCCTACTAGTTACATAAATAAAACCATATGAAATTAGATCATCAAAAGTACTAGCCAATAACTTACCAATACACTTTTACTAATAATAAATCTCCAAATGAATAAATCCAAAGCATCAACAAATCTGTAAAAGCTAGTGTTTCGGCTCTTGTTAGAATGGGAATGGATCACCGTTTCATGAACATGCTGAAGGCGTGAAGACAAAATAATAATTGTTGGCAAACTGAAAGCAATTAATATAGGACCTGAATATAAATGCAAAAGAACAGTCAGCCCTGGTAACCATCGTGTAGTATGATCACCTTCATATGCAGCATAAGCGGCATCCCATGGAATTCCAGATAATGTTGGTTGATGACCAGTTATAAAAAAAGATAAGTTATCTAATAAGCAAAGAAATATTGAGAAAATCCATGAGATGCACTTTTGAGGTACATGAAGCAGTAGTGAATCTAAAGAAATTACAAAAAAAATGAATTAGTTTGGAGGATACTAAGTCTGTTACTTATGTTAAAAAGGAGCTTAACGAGTAAACATTAAGTGGGAAAACGTTATAAGTTGTATTCATAGGGTTATCAGGGAAGATTCACAGTTTCCGTAAACTAACATTACAAACAGATATATTTTAGTGACTAACAAGCCGATATGACTAAGTAATTTGATATAATAATAAGAACGGATTGTATATGAAACGACAACTGTTATATCTAGGGCTTGATTCTTGCTACGCCGCGTACTAATAGACTACTTGAACGACCGAACCCGCAACGTCGCAAGAGAGAAGACAGAAGACTAGTAAGTAGGAATGTTATTCCTAAAACAGTGTCAAATATAATACAAAAATCTCATGTATTTATAGTTTTTTTGACTGAAAGTAAATCATCATTTCGGACAGCCAATAGGCACATAGGGGGTCATTCTTATTCATCCAATAGGGAAGCTACACGTCGACATTATAGAATGTTTCCCTAGTGGTGATTGGATGGAATGTCCTCGGCTCTTTCTGGGCTTTTTGAGGCTTCCTTGAGTTTGTTAACGAGCCATCTTTACAACAACATATACAACTGATCTCTCACCAGTATGAAAGATAAGATCCAAAATATGAAATAAATTCCCAGAGTTGGAAACTGTATGTCAAAAAAAGACTAGAATATAAATATTATGAAACGTAAAACTTCATCTAACCAGTTTAGATGATAACTTTTCATATAAACATCATACAGTTGTGCCTCTTCGAGTTACACAAATTTTCTTATCATTTCAGGTTGAAATATACAGCCATTAGGTCTGCTAACTGTTAAGATTGAAAGTTACTCTAAAATCTAAGAGCTAAACCAATCTAAGATGCCACTGGACGGCCGTCCAGTGCTGCTAGGTTTTCCATGATGGTCTACCTTCAATTGACTAATGATCTCAACTATTAAGATAGAAAATATTTATCGTTAAAAATATGAAATCAACTGAGCAACATATAGGGTCCTGATAAAAACAATGACCAACCTCTCCCTAGTGTATGAATTATTCAATAGTATTGAACTAATCTAGCCAAAATAAGGGTCGAGTTAAGACTGAATTCTTCATTCTGAGTTTAAAAACTTTGAATATTAGTGTTTTCTCTCTCTCCAAATAGCCAATGTTTGGTCCTGTCAAACGATAGGATTCGTAGTAATATTTTTCAAAGAACGGTATACCAAAAGGTACGTAACCCTTCAGAAGGCTCTTTATTCAAACAACAGTAGTAAGAATTAACTGTTATAGGCATTGGCAACATCAAGTAGAGTAAGTCAGAGTTGTTTACTACTTCTATTTCGATTCAGATTTGTCAAGGACAATCGTTTAATGATATGGTCCTATTTGATAAAAATGGGAAAATGTAGCTCATTCTGAATGTCTTGAATAACAATAAAATGATGTTTGGGATATCTTTCGTTCTCCATATGAAAATTAGATGTCGGTCAGCAAGTTATTCAGCTACAGCGTGGGACCATTCAAATATATGTATCGGTCCAAGTTGACACACCCCATCAGCACAACATGATGAACACTAAATTCATAAAAGTAGTTACTTCGATGGTAATAATATATAAAACGAAGATCGCGTATAAGGATGTAATACAAGAGGAAAGAATGAGCTCGTAGAAAGAAAGGTATAAAGCAATTTTAATCTCACGGTTTAAGGAAAGACAAAGAATGTATACACCTACACCATTGTGATCGATTCTGAGCCATATCATCCATGGTCTCCGACCATTGGTTACGATGATCGCGCGGACCCCAACCAAGTAGTCTGCATCTACCAACATGGCTCAGACTAGAAGTTATTGACTTTATGGACTAATGCCAAGTTTTGGTTTGACCACCCATATTTATTTATTTTATTTATTTGAACACATTAATATTGGTACAAAGGGTTACCAGATACATATGCACCACACAATAACAAAGAGAATGGTAGAGATAAAAAGTGCAAGGCGAGTATAAGAAAAAGGAAAACAATAAAGAACAGAAATTAGTGTATAATAGTGAAATAATAATAATGGGAGAAGCAGTTCAGTTAGAAAAGATAGAACCGGAAAAAATTCTTTCAGTTAATAAAGTCACGTCCATTTTTTATGGTGAAAGTAAAATAAGGTTACAGCAGGATCACCACTGGTTTCTATTCTGAGTCATATCTGATAACGTCTCCAGCCACTGTGTTGGACCTCAACCAGGGAGTTGTGAAGGACCAACAGAGATCCGTCCTGTACAGTTTTCTTTCATACTACAACACCACATCACACATTGACCACCTCTCTACTTTTTTCAACTAGTCTCAGCGTCGACAAATAATGCACGACGAGGAATTTTTTGAGAAAACATTCGTAGAACATGTCCAAGCCACTGAAGTCGATGTTTCAAGATAGTGACACCAATTGAATCATCGTCTCTGTGTCCGAACACACAGTGCCGAACCTCTGCATTACTAACATGGCGTTGCCACTGGATGTCAGCAATCCTTTGGAGACAATGGTGATCAAACACAGAGAGTCGTATAACATTGAGAGTAGAAGATACTCGTAAGTTAGTAGTATTTGACCACAGATGCCTTAGAAATATTGCTCGCATCCACTGGGATCACCGGGTAAGTAATAGTGAGGTTAGACACAGGGTATTAGGAAATGATGGTAAATCAGTTGATGAGGTTGTAAATTTTCAGCAACTGAGATGGTCGGACCACGTGTTACGTATGCCCAACCACTGATTACCAGGACTTGTTATGCTGACTAGCATTGGGGATGATTGGGAGAGAGTTATGGGCGGCCAAACCAAAACGTGGCATTAGTCCATAAAGTCAATAACTTCTAGTCTGAGCCATGTTGGTAGATGCAGACTACTTGGTTGGGGTCCGCGCGATCATCGTAACCAATGGTCGGAGACCATGGATGATATGGCTCAGAATCGATCACAATGGTGTAGGTGTATACATTCTTTGTCTTTCCTTAAACCGTGAGATTAAAATTGCTTTATACCTTTCTTTCTACGAGCTCATTCTTTCCTCTTGTATTACATCCTTATACGCGATCTTCGTTTTATATATTATTACCATCGAAGTAACTACTTTTATGAATTTAGTGTTCATCATGTTGTGCTGATGGGGTGTGTCAACTTGGACCGATACATATATTTGAATGGTTCTACGTTGTAGCTGACTAACTGACTGACTGAATTTATAAAACAACCAACTATTGATCTATATATTATGTTGAAAAAGCGGCTAACATAGTATTCACATTCTGTTAAAAGCATATGATTGTTTAGATATTAGGGTTTATACTCTAAACAACACATGCTTCCGACCATTCAGTATAAGAATTATTTCTTATTTACTTGTGTCTTTGATTTAAATAGTTATAATATTTAGTTTTTTGTGTATTATATATCTGTAGTACTGTGAAACGAGATATGTTGGATCAATGATTTTCTTTGATCTCATCTAGTTGAAAACATCCAACGGTAACTAATATAGAGTCATTTTTGAAAATTCTTATGAGTTGATAGTTTTATACCTTTCTGTAAAATAGATTTACCTAATTTAAGTAATGAATAAATAAACACTGAAGTATATGCTTTAAAAAGAATGTTTAGTACACTATATATGAACTGCCCCCGAATGCCCTGGTACGGCTGAGAGTGGGGACAGTCCGCTCTCCCTCTCAAAATGCTCTCACATAGACACGCGTATATAGCCTCTGACAGGAAAGTAATACTCACTGCCTTCTCGTGGAGTTACTGTTGTTTACGAAATTGACAGGAGGAAAGCCAATGTCCGGCGCTTTGAGTGGTTTGGTGGACACGGAAAGTTCACCTAGGGGAATCGGAAAACCCCGATTCCAAACCAATGGTGCACATGGGCTGGCTCCAGTATCCTGAGGGAACAAATGGGGTATGAATCAATCGTTGGTCACCGGCTACCATGGGACTGCATCTCCTCACGATGCTCCACTGTCTTGTAGATCAGATCTTTAGGTCGAAAGTTCGGGGTGTGGCCCCCTAAGAAAACCACCTATTTCAGTCTGGGAACCCGGACAGTATCATAGCCCTCACACAAATCAAACGAGATTTGTATGGCATACATGTATCCTGCACCCCTTTGTACCAATATTTATGTGTTTAAATAAATAATAATAAATATATACTTGAACAAACTATAATACTAAACTCACTTTTAATACATTTATCTATATGATTACATTTTACAGCGGTCACATGTATACGCAATTGAATGAATATAATAATGAAAACCAACCAAATGATATGGAATTCATTTAAGAAGACAAGTAGAGAAAGGAATGGTAAGACTATGAAACAGGTCATTGTCCACAAAGTATACAAATAAACAACAATTCTTTGAGTAGACTGATTACAATCATTTGATTGGATACATTTTATAAAATTTATCTCTTCAATAAGATGAAATGGGGATTTCACAAGTTGAAAAAATATGTAGAATATAGTTATCAACAGAATACGAGCAACCCAAATCCGAACTGTATGCCTAGATAAACAAAATGTACCAGTCGAGATTTAATATACTTAGCGAGTATCAAATGATTTTTACTTAATAAAAGATTAGAAATTGGCAGAACACAAAGAGTGAATGCACCAGCGCCATTGCAAACGATTTTGAGCTATGTCACTCAAGGTCTCTAACCATCGATTGCTATCATCTCGCGAATCCCAACCAGGTAGTCTACACCTACCAACATGGCCCAGTTCACTTGTCAGTGACTTCATGGATTTATGCCATGTTTTGATCTGGCCGCCCCTAGCTTTCTTCCAACCTGCTTCTACACCATAAAGCATTGCACGTCGGGGCAGTCGGTGGTTGGGCATACGTAACACATGTCCCAGCCATCTAAACTGATCAAGTTTCACTACTTCATCAATCGATTTGCCATCCTTACCTAGTACCCGTTTCCTAACATCTGCATCACTTACCCCGGTGGTCCCAGGATATACGAGCAATGCGTCGAAGACACCTATGATCGAACACTAGTAGCCTGCGAATATCCTCTACTCTTATCGGCCATGTTTCACTGCCATAAAGTAGGACGGAACGGACTGCTGCACAGTAAACCCGTCCTTTTGTTGTTAGACGGATATCTCGCCTACGCCATAAATGGCGCAAGTTGGCGAAAGCTAGACGAGCCTTCTGTATCCGTGCTGAGATTTCGTCACACACACACACCAGATCGCAAGGACCGATATGAGACTCTCAAGATAAGTGAAGCGATCGACACAAACACAAATAATATGAAAAACAACAAATAAGAAAAATTACATGGTTATCTCATCCACTCTAAGAAAATGAGTAACCACTAAAAAGCCCCCAAATGCCCTGATACGGTCGAGAGTGGGGAGAGTCCCATCTCCCTCTCCAAATGCTCTCACATCGCCACGCGTACATAGCCTCTGCTACACAAGTCCTACTCGCCGCATTAATGTTGTTTACGAAATTGAGAGGACGAAAAGCGAATGTCCGACGCTCTAACCGGGTTGGTGAATACGGAAAGTTCACCTAGGGGAGTTGGAAAACTCTGATTCCAAATCAATGGTGCACATGGGCTCCAGAATCCTGAGGGAACAAATGGAGTATGAACCAATTGTTGGTCACCAGCTACCATGGGACTGTATCTCCTTACGATGCTCCACTGCCTTGTGGGTTAGACCTCTAAGTCAAAGGCTCGGGGTGTGGCCCCCTTAGAAAACCATCTGCTTCAGTTTGGGCACCTGTGCAGTATCACAGCCCTCACACAAATCAAATGAGATTTGTGTGGCGCATATATGTACCTGGTACTTCCTTGTACCAATATTTATATGTTTAAATAAATGATAAATAATCATTAAATACCAACTTACAATTTATCTTTTGGAATAAATCCAATCCAATTAGTTGATTCCGCAGAATCTACCATCCACAGTAATGACAATAAACTACCAATTAATATAAATAAACTTAATTTCTTCCAATTAGCTTTATTTGACTGATTCAAATCCATAGATATATTTTGATATTCAAACAATAGTCGGCAATATAAACAAAGACATATTATTAACATTAGAATAGCAAATATTAAACGTATTCCACTAATTGGATAAAATTCATGAATAGGATTTAATCTACTTAAAGTTTTTGTTAACCATGGATTAAGAATAGATCGACATAAAGAATTATTATTTAATTCTTCACGACAAATTAAAAATTGTCGAATAAATAAACGAAACAATAACATAATATTTAGATAAAGTAAAGTTATGAATGGAAGACAAGGCAAAGATAAACATATTCGTAAGAACTTCAATCCAATAGGATTCAAACTATACAAAGAAGTCATATCCATAGGATCTATATGAATGAATAAATCAATGACAAATACAATAATCAAACTTTGAATTAGATAAAGAGTTACATGGAATTCATAAATAATCATACTATTTGATAAATAACTTAAAGAAAGTAGGAATAATAACAAGAAACCAATAAAATTATCATTGAATCTATTCAAAAGATCTAAAAAGATCAACATTAAAGAATGATGATATGTCAATATAAGATATGGTAATGTGATGAATAATAATACAAAAATAAAAAATAAAAAAATATTTGAATAGTATCCAAGTAAACATATAAAAGATAAAATACAAGTAAACAATAAAAAGAGGATAGTGATATGTATATTACGAGTGTTGTAAATCTTTTCAATGGATAGTAAAAGAGTAATCAAACTGAATGTTGTTAAAAATAGACCAAAAAATATACGTAAATCATTGAATTGTGTCCAATGAATACGAAATATTGATTGTAATTCTTTGAGAATAGTTACTAACTGAATATCATTCAGTTGTTCTATCCAATCATAAGTTGAACTTGACATAATACGATCCATATAAGATATAAGTATAGGAGAAAGTGGTAATTTACTTATGTTATAATAATAATTTGCAGTATAGGTAAACATCTATAAAGGAGTATTGAAAAAAAAAACGAAAATATTATTCATTAAATACAACTAGAATTGCAAAACATTATACAAGCCATTAAACAAATTCTATTGAGACTACGAATATTCTACCTGACCGTTACTGCTACCTTGACGTGGTGGTCGGGCTTGCCTATCGTGATGAACCAATCAAGCTATATTGACTGGAACAATCGTTCCTCAAGGTCCTACCATACCAGACATGTCGGTTGAAGAGAGGTTAGATTAAAAGCAGAGAACCCAAGGTCCGAAGACAAAGTCGTACTGCTGCCTGTACAGAGGTGTGACGGCAGTGGGGTGTTTCCTTCAGAAAACTAGCATAACAGCGATGCTGCCTTCCCACAACAAGGGGTGGGGTTAGAAAAAGTCGACCCTAAAAATGCACACCTCGCCTTATCCCACGGATTTCCGTCTCCGGCGGTAAGGTCCCAACAAGTACGGAGGTAACACAAAAAGGTCGTGTGTGACTGACCTCAAGCAGTTGTCCTTTGGACATTGCGGTCACAGTCTCAGGTCATTAAGATCACCTATCATCCAATTTTATTTTTAGGTACCTCTGAAAGAACCCTTCCACGGTACGGGCGACCGGGAAGTGATAACTGCCCTCAAACCTCTAACAGCACTCAAGATCACTGTATTCATAATCAAGAAAATTCTACAATCTCCACGAAACCCAATACTAATAACAATCATTTAAACATTAAAGGCAGACTTCAAAACGAAATGCATGAAGTTTTAGTAAAAAAAACTCTGAATACAGGAGATCAACCACGTCCGTTGAGACAGTTATCAAATACAGACGAAAGAAAATAGTTACGTAATATGGTGAACTAATAAAAAAAACTCACACACGCAACGCATCTGAGCATCGACAAGTTAAAGCTAAAGTATTCGCAAACCAGATCGAAGACAACGGGTTCGAATTTGTGCCAGGATTGTGGTAGTGTATAATCGACGAGTCGCAAATAAGAAATGAAATACGCCATAGAATCTGGCATTCATAGTCAGTTCATCAGGAATCAAATGTTGCACACAACAAAAATAAGACTGATTGACAAAGCAAACCGGATTGATTTGTTTCCTGATTGATGCCATATATTTATTTATGTGATCGTGAAGAAGATCTTAATGAAACGTATGATTGTTATAATCCCAACATTCCCGAATTAGCAATAGAAATGACCTTTACATTCACTTACCAAACCACCATCACCATCACTGTAATAAATTTATTTCGATCCCGGAATAACAACATACTACTCAAACATTCTACTGTTGAGTTCAACGGTCTCTGTTAAGTTTCATTGGAACAAAATCGATTCATTAGAGTGGTTTCTATTCCAATGGCTTCAAAATTCCAGCTAATATACAGAGTTGGATTATATAGTTGAGATCATGAGTCAATTGAAGCTAATCACCATGGAAAACCTGGAAGCACTGGACGGCCGTCTCGTCCTATTGTGGGACTCCTCAGTGGAAGTGCGCAACCATGATCCCGTCTCGCGAAATCCAAACTCAGGACCTACCAGAGCACTTAACCGATAAACCACTAAGCCGGCATCCAACGGTGTTGATGTCTAAACTCAACCAATCCACGAAATTGCGCGACCATCTTCCATTGTACTGAGGTAGATACTTGTCTCTACCTGACATGGATTAGAATTCTAGCAATTACCTCATGGAGGCAGTCACTAGTGAGCATTGTTTTCATTCTTATCATACAAAACGATTAGTATAATGGGGTGTTAAACATGTATCACATACAGTAAAGTAACTCTTTACTTAGTTATTTGTCACTATACGATATCGTTATAGTTTTACTCTTCAGAGATCTGACTGATTTCCATCGAATAAACAATGTTCCTTTAACAGCTAGAAGGACCAACAAAATATATACAATACTGATATAACAGCATTTAGTTAATAAAATCATTAGCAGTAAACCATGGATACAAAGTTACCTGTATGAAATTCAATACCATACCCTGATGAACGTTAGCACCATGTCCTAGAAGATGGTCATATAGTATGCCCAAATTCGAATAGGGTATTGGAACATTAGTTAGAAGTGATAACGTTGGGACAAGATCAATTTGACATAATCGTCTATTTGTTTGGTTCTCTGAATCATCTTTTATGATAAGTGAATCCTGATCAGCAGTAAAAACGATGAAAGCAGCTTCCAGTTCCGCATCACTATCTCCACCATGATCACCTGATCGTGTCATTCCATGGTCACCCAAAATAAATAGAATATCGGAAGATTGAAGTTTAGAAACAATAAGTCTAGAAAGAAATGCATATAAGTAGAGGAACAAACCTAGACAGCAATGCGACATATTTTTTGTTAACATTTAAGTATGGGTGCAAATCGGTGAAAACATATAAAGATAATTCTGAAAACCAACGTGATCTTAAAGAAATATTAAAGATTTTGATGATCTAGAAAGTAGCCTCACCTCACTTTCAATTGCTTTTAAATAGCTACCCACGAAGAATGAGTGTAGACACAGATTACTCCCAGACTTGTAGAAGTACTTTGCACTTCTATGGTGCAAAGTATGTGTCAAAATTATAGACGCTAGTGGTTAAACTGATTGAGTGTGATTGGAGTGGACTTTATATGATTGTACATTATGACCTTAAAAGCTTTTCCCCACGTAACAAACGCCAAGTCTATACATTACCACTACGTACATTCTTCAGGATTGTATCGACGGGAAAATTAAAGATGAATTGTGTGACGGAGTAACTCTGTTTAGTCTCATTAAGGATTTGCAACAATGTACAGAGTATGTGATTTTGTGCAGAGCTTTCAATATGCTAATAGACTTTTCAGGTGCATTTAGAGAATAGTCATATTCAGAGAATCGAAAGCAACCACAATGTTAAGAAACAAAACGACTGTTGGCTTGTGATATTGTTCAAGGATTTGTCGGAGAGGTAGAGACATGGGGCTAATACATTCAAAACTTCGATGAAACCCGGTCAATTTCTCATGAGTCAGTTTTTTACATTTACCAACTAATCTGTTTATTATAAAAATAGTCAACATTTTTGATGCAAAATAAAAGACCAATGATTGTCATCCACATTGCACGGATTGTTTTTGAAGATGATTAATTGGCGTATCATAAACACAGATTATTTACCGATACCAGACCTCTGGTTACTAGTGACTTGATTAAGCCGTTGTTTCTAGCTCAACGGTTTGCTTTGGCTAGTAGACTTGGAAGTTCCTGGTGGATAAATTTGAATTTACTGGAAGTCGTAGGGTTATATTGTCTTACTTTGTTAATAACGTTGTTCACTATTTCTCTTGGATTTCATTGTTGATGGCATTTTAGGATGGGTTGTCAACGTAGTACCCGGAGGCGGTGTGGTTTGATATCTGGAAAATACGTTTCAATTTTCATTAAGAGAATGGGATTGTCTGACTGTGCGATCGCCTAATTGTTTTTAGCGAAATAACAATTATCACTTTAATTGATACTGTTCTTTGAAACATTAAACTGTATACTTGGAGGACACTCCACTTAGTTCGATTTGGTTAACCAGATAAAATCATAAACCACTAACAATGTGGGTCAAAGTCGAGTATATTAACGTACAATGGTATACAAGATACAATTCTTGGCGGTCTTGCTGTGCGATGATGTATTTTACTCATAACTTTCAGTGAGCCTTTGGAAATAGTAGAAAATTTCATGTATCTAAATAGTGTTGTGACTGTTAGTGGTGGTGTAGTGGACGAGATGTTTTTAAGCATCGTAAATGGACAGAGAAAATTTATGCCAGTCTGAATCAATTTGCCACTTTTAAGACGAAAACTTCTCTTCACTAAATCGATCCTTTATCTTTGTGATTAGCAAAGCACTGAAAGCATTGGTAATAGTAAAATTCATTCAGAATAGTGAATACGATTCGAAAGATTAATTACAGACAAAGAAGTGATATCATATCTAGTTCGATTAGGCAAATAATTTGCAGTATGGAGGCTGCCTAGATGATATTAATAAAACATGTCCAGGTTAGCGATATCGGTATTTTCAGGTGGTACCATCAATATGTTTATCTCTACTATTATTTATTTATTTATTTAAACACATATATATTGGTACAAAAGGGCACCAGGTACATATGCGCCACACAAAATAATGTAAGTAGGAAGAGAAGGGATGAAAAGATAAGGCGGACTAAAATGTACAACCAGAAGACTCTTTCAAATAGGAAAGTAAGAACCATACTTAATGTAGAAAGTAAAAGAAGGTTGCAGCAGGATCGCCACTGGTTTCTATTCTGAGCCATATCTGATAACGTCTCTAGCCACTGTGTTGCACCATCTCTCGGACCCCAACCAGGGAGTCGTGAAGGACCAACAAAAGCTAGCCCTTTGCAGCTTTCTTTCATGCCACGACACCATGTCATACACTGACCTCCTCTCCGCTTTTTCCAACCAGTCCCAGAGTCGGCAAATAATGCACGACGTGGAAGTCTCTGGGACGACATTCGTAAAACATGTCCAAGCCACCGAAGTCGGTGTTTCAAGATGGTGACACCAATTGAATTATCGTCTCTGCGCCCGAACACACGATGCCGAACCTCTGCATTACTAACATGGTGTTGCCACTGGATGTCAGCAATCCTTCGGAGACAACGATGATCGAACACAGAGAGACGTCTAACATCCTCAACTCGGAGAGGCCAGGTTTCACAAGCATAGAGCAAAACTGCTCTCACCGACGCGTTGTAAATCCGACTTTTTACAGCCAGACTAACATCACGAAGGCGCCAAAGATGGCCCAGATTGGCATAAGCCGATCTGGCTTTCATTATACGTGCATCAATCTCATCACTCACGCCACCACCAGCACTTATATAGCTACCTAGATACACGAACTTCTCAACTACTTCGATCTGCTCACCATCCAGGGTGAGTACAGGATTAGAATCCTGCCAGTCTTGTAGAAGTACTTTGCACTTGGAGGGTGCAAAGCACATGCCGTACCTGCGGACACTGATTGCCAACTGATTAAGTGCTGATTGCATGCCTTGGGCATTATCGCACAGTAAGACAATATCATCCGCATACTCAAGGTCGAGAAGTCGTTCTCCAGGCAACATATCCACACCGCCATTACTTACATCCATCAGAGCTGTTTCCAAGATGTCGTCGATGGCAAAGTTGAAGAGGAATGGTGAGATCGGGCAACCCTGCCTAACCCCACTGCTCGAATGGAACAAGGGAGAAAGGTGGTTGTATGCCCTCACTCTGCCTGAGGTGTTCGTGTACAGGGCCTTTAAGATGTTAATGAACTTCTCAGGCACACCCTTCTTCAATAGACAATCCCAGAGAACAGTCCTGTCCAACGAATCGAAGGCCGCCCTGATATCAAGAAACACTACGATTGTTGGCCTGCGATAAGTATGACGGTGTACTAACATTTGGCGGAGGGTGAAGATGTGATCAATGCATCCTCGACCAGGACGAAAACCAGCCTGCTCCTCGCGAGTCAATCGTTCTCGGGTTTTAAACAACCTACGAAGAATGATAGAAGCCAATAGTTTGGACGCAATCGGAAGTAGACTTATCCCACGATAGTTATTGCAGGAACAACGTGAACCCTTTTCAAAGATAGGGACGACTATTGACTCATTCCATGATGTTGGAACACTTTCTTGCTCCCAAACCTTTCCAAACAACACAGTCAATTCCTTAGTCAGAAAGTCGCCACCATCTTTAAAAAGAGCCGGAGGTAAGTCATCTGGGCCAGGTGATTTGTAGCGCTTCAAGAGTTGGAGTTCCTTGAGGACTTCCGCCTCGTTTGGTGGATCAGTCGTCACCGGCCATGGGGAGCAGGACAAGCTGGTTGATGTTGCCGGAGCAGCAGGCCAGTTGAACTGCCCTTCGAAAAATTCCGCCCATCGTCCAAGACGTCGGGAGATGTTAGTGATTGGCATCCCGTCATCCTCGTAGATTGTTTCACTCACACCAGACTTCTTGCTGCCAGTGGCTCGGATGAGTTGGAAGAGCTTCCGGCAGTTACCAGATGCAGCTGCTGCTTCCATCTCATTAGCACGCTCCGACCACCAGGCTTCCCGGTCCTTACGCAAGCTTTGCCCGATTTCATTACGTAACAGCCTTCGGTTGTGGTCAAACTCACGGTCACCCGGAGTAGACCGACGGGCTTCGATCAGGAGCCAGAAGAAACCCAGTGCTTGTAAGCGGGACGCCAGCGGTAGCTGATCGCGATGTGATCAATCTGAGTCCAGGCTTGGGATACAGAGGAAGGACGCCAGGTGGCACACCGGCGATGACTGTGCCGGAAGTTAGTGCTGGCCAGAAACAGGTTGTGGTCTGTGCACAGTTGCAGCAAACGGTCCCCGTTATCTGTCCTGCGACCAACAAGTCCCCATCGGCCACCTAAACGACTCTCTTCTGTGCCTAGACGCCCGACCTGTGCATTCAAGTCTCCGGCTAGTACTACAATATCTGTCGAACGCGCTTTCTGGAGAAGAACTGTTAACTGATGGTAAAACTCATCCTTGATTGCATCCGGGCTGCAATCTGTCGGGGCATAGGCGGAGATGACGAAAAGACACCGTTTCTCACGCCGATTTCTTCTCACTTTGATGGAACTTTCTAATCTAACAGCACATAACCGACTGTTAATGGGGATCCAATCGATTAGTGCTGCCTCAGCTCTAGCGCTTAGTGCGACACCAACGCCAGCAAGACCAGACGAAGATGCCACAGGGTCCCCGGATAAGCGCACGTGGAACAAGCTTTTCGAGGCGACAGATGGAGAGCGGATTTGTAGTACTTCACTAGAGTCTTGAATACGGGTCTCGGATAGACAACAAACGTCAACATTAAGACCTTCCAAAGACATAGCCAGCCCTATCTGTTGTCTGATATGCATTAGTGTGCGAACGTTGAAGGAAGCCAGCTTGAACGGCGTACGTGGTTTCAGAAAGACTGCCTCAGTATTCATTATCGGTGGAAGCATTCACTTTCAACCAGACAGTGACTGGAGATCGTTTAGATAGGACAGATTTTCCACCAAGAGCGAGCTGATGCATAAGTTGAAGAGTAAGGTTACACAAATTGGGGGTAAAAGGGGGTGAATTAGCGATATGGTAAGTAATAATAATAATAATAATAATAATAATAATAATAGTAATAATAATAATAATGATAATAATAACGTAAATTGTCTTGCTTATAATATGAGCAGGAATAGAATCGTCAATAGAGTTCGTCATTTCATTCATTTGTGTGTGGGCTGTGATACTGCCCGGGTGCCCAAACCGAAGCAGGTGGTTTTCTTAGGGGGCCACACCCCGAGCCTTTGACCTAAAGGTCTGATCCACAAGGCAGTGGAGCATCGTGAGGATATGCAGTCCCATGGTAGTCGTTGACCAATGACAGGTTCTTCCGCCATTCGTTCCATCAGGAAACTGAAGCCCATGTGCACCATTGGTTTGGAATCACGGTTTTCCAACTCCCCTAGGTGGACCCTCCGTGTCCACCAATCCGGTTATAGCGCCGGACATTCGCTTTTCATCCTCTCACTTTCGTAAACAACACCCCCGCCACGAGAAGGCAGTGAGTAGGACTTCCGTGGCAGAGGCTATATATTCGCTGGCCATATGAGAGCATTTCGAGAGGGAGAGTAGACTCTCCCCACTCTCGGCCGTACCAGGGCATTTCGGGGGCAAATGGATAGTAGCTAGCAGTGGAATCCAGGACGCGCATTTCGTCCCATTTGGGACTCGTCAGCTGGATGTACCTGCATCTCAGAGTTTATGTTCACTCTGGGACTCGAACCCAGTACCGTTCGCTTCAAACGCCACCGTGTTATCCACTCACCTACTGAGTCCTATCTCTACTATACTATAAATCTCTACTATACTCAGAAACATTTCCCGACCTCATTCATATTATCCTGATATTTCACGGAAAGACTAACATTATGACTCCATTAAAGATGTCTCAGGTTAGAATATGTTCCACTGGATTTTACCATGAGTTGACTGATCACATCTATCACACCACAAAATAGTAATCACACAACTACCCAGGTACATGAACTTTCGACTACTTTTAATGGGTCAGAATTATTTATTCATTTATTTGAACATACAAACACTGGTGCAAGGAGGCACCAAATACACATGCGCCACACAATAAAAATGAGGCCAGTAGAAGTAATCATTGATTTATGTGACGATTGTGATACTGCTCAGTGCCTAGACCGAAGCATGTGGTTTTCTTAGGGGGCCACACCCCGAGCCTTTAACCTGAAGGTCTAATCCACAAGGCAGTGGGGCATCGTGAGGAGACGCAGACCCATGATAGCCGGTGACCAACAATTGGTTCACACGCCATTTGTTCCTTCAGGATCCTGGAGCCCATGTGCATGAGTGGTTTGGAATCAGGATTTTCTAAGTCCTCTAGGTGGATCCGCCGCGTCCACCAACATGGGTAAAGCACCGGATATTCGCTTTTCATTCTCTCAATTCTGTAAACAACATCCCCGCCAGGAAAAAACCTTCCAGGTAACAGATATACATAGCCATTACCACACTCTCTTCAGAGCTGTTTCTAGAGTGTCATCAAATAGGAAGATGAAGAATAGTAAAATTAAGAAGTTCTGTCTAAACTCACTACTTGCTTGGAACAATGGAGAGAGGTGATTGTAGTATTCGTGTAAAATTCCTTTCAGATTTTAATTATCTTTGCATGTAAACCCATAATAGCATAATCTTATTTAATGAATCGAAGGTGACCTCGATACGAAGCAACACAATGACTGTTGTTCTAGGATAGGTGTGGGAGTGTTTTAGAGTTTGGCTGAAGATGAAGCACTAGAGAGAAAACTTATTACCCCGATAATTCTCACACAAGTAAACCCCCCAAGATGGAAGTTATAAAGAAACATCATTTCCTATGCCAGTTTCTCCTCACTTTGATGGGACCATCCTTCTCACCTAACAGGATACAAACGAATGCTAATGGAGGTTCATTACACTAGTACTGCCTTTGCTCTGGAGTTTAGTGCGACATCAACCCCAGTAAAGTATGCAAACCTGAACATGGTAAGTGAGCTACACTACATTAAACGATAACTATTAACCCATGAGAATATATGATAATCAAAATCTTCAACTGACTCTATAAAGCTGTTTAGTTCATTTAGCTTTCGCATCATCTCTGGATGTGCAGGTCCATATGTATGACCACAGTGATCTATCCCTAGCACATGTCCAATAAGAATATCCCAATGAGTTTGTGATGTTTGATTGTCAACAACTTCATTATCCCAATCCCATGAGGTAATGTTAAGGGCATGGAGAAAGTAATTTTCAACACCTCGGTCAACTGTATCCAAATCCTTCACATTGAACGATGAATAAGCTTTGTAATGACTGAAACTGTGGGTTGAAACAAAAATTTAAGAGAATATATTGAAGGAAATATGTATGCACAACAAAATCAATGTATATATCTGCATGTATTTACAGATAGGTCAATAATAAGTCAGTGTTACGAATACGTAATGATATTGCGCTGAGAGTGAACATGCTTTAATCACTCTATGTCAAGTATTTTTTATTATAATTAACAAAATAGGCAACTGTAAATAGTTGAATAATTATATCATACTACTGATCTAACATAGGTGCGCACTAATATGGACTTAAAATACCATAAACTGCTTATGAAAATCACAAAACGATCGAAAACCATCACTATCAGATGCAAATCCTCCGAATGAAACTACGTAGAGGCTTTTACTCACTCTTCATGAGATATGAGATAACAGATCCTGTACCTGTAAATACTCATGCAATTGTGAGACAGTTTAGCAAAGCTATCAAGTTTCAAAAATGACACCAGCTAATGTCTTTTAACTAATGTTTCAACACCCTATTCGAATTTGGGCATACTATACGACCATCTGCTAGGACATGGCGCTAACCATCACCAGGGTATGGTATTGAATTTCATACAGGTAACTTTGTATCCATGATTCACTGTTAATGATTTTATTAACTAAATGCTGTTATATCAGTATTGTATATATTTTGTTGGTCCTTCTAGCTGTTAAAGAAACATTGTTTATTCGATGGAAATCAGTCAGATCTCTGAAGAGTAAAACTATAACGATATCGTATAGTGACAAATAACTAAGTAAAGAGTTACTTTACTGTATGTGATACATGTTTAACACCCCATTATACTAATCGTTTTGTATGATAAGAATGAAAACAATGCTAATTAATACAAGTCTGTATATTAGCTTAAATTTTGAAGCCATTGGAATAGAAACCACTCTAATGAATCGATTTTGTTCCAATGAAACTTAACAGAGACCGTTGAACTCAACAGTAGAATGTTTGAGTAGTATGTTGTTATTCCGGGATCGATATAACTTTATTACAGTGATGGTGATGATGGTTTGGTAAGTGAATGTAAAGCTCATTTCTATTGCTAATTCGGGAATGTTGGGATTATAACAATCATACGTTTCATTAAGAACTTCTTCACGATCAAACAAGTAAGCATATGACATCAATTGACATACCAATCAGGGAATAGATCAATCCAGGTTTCATCGCCAACAAATCGAATTTGTTTTCCAGCCTTATTCCATTGTTTTATTAAATTATCTTCCAGTACTTTATTTCCGCCAAAATTTGAACCTGCATCTATAAATGTTGGCATACTACCTGTCATTAGAGCTTTTAAACGTTGTAACGTGGTTGTCGGTGGGTCTGCGATAAACTTTCCAATATATGCTGCTTTAGATAAGCTGTTAAGTTGTGGACGAGATTGATTTTGTGAATGTGGTGAAATATGATTAGGTAGGAATTGGTTGTTTTCATTATTGTTTTGTATAAGTGCATAACCTAATGCATCAACAAGTAAAAGGATAATTCGACCATTTCTAGCAACAGTCAAAGGATTCTTCAATGATAATTTCAGTTTTTCATTTGTCTCATTGTAGAGCTCAGTCCGATTTAATAGAAAACCATGTAGGAATAGACCGATACCAAGAAAGGCAATAATGATTGACAGTAACTTTGATAAAATTGATATCCCGTAGTCACGATTTTTATTTATGTACATAGCGAGACTTCTACTACATCTTTTGATCAAATAGTCCATTTCTTGAGATCAATATAGCTAGAGAACAGAAGGAAACAGTAGGGACTGTATCTTTGGATAATGTAAGAGTAAGGGGATGAATGGATGGAATTGAGAATTCATATTATGTTCGATAAAGAAAAATAAGAAAGAGTTAGGAAAATACATTTATACAAGATAAAAATTTAGGCAGTTTATCTTGATATCCTTGGTATTGATTATTAAAGTCCCTACATTTCTTTAGACAATCATCCGTTTTTTTCATCTTTTTGTGTGAGTAAGAGCTCTGTAGCACTTTATTTATTTATTTAAACACATGAATATTAGTACAAAGGGGCACCAGATACATATTCGCCACACAAATCTCATTTGATTTGTGTGAGGGCTGTGATACTGCCCACGTGCCTAAACTGAAGCAGGTGGTTTTCTTAATGGGCCACACCCGGAGCCTTTGACCTAAAGGTCTAATCCACAAGACAGTGGAGCAGTCCCATGAAAGCCAGTGGCCAACGATTGATTCATACGCCATTTGTTCCCTCAGGATACTGGAGCCAGCCCATGTGCACCATTGAATTGGAATCAGGGTTTTCCAATCCCCTAGGTGGACCCTCCGTGTCCATCAACCTGGTTAAAGCTCCGAACATTCGCTTTTCGTTCTCTCAATTTCGTAAACAACAGTAGTTCCACGAGAAGGCAGTGAGTAGGACTTATGTGGCAGAGGCTATATACACGTAGCCATGTGAGAACATTTCAAGAGAGAGAGGGAGCGGACTCTTCCCACTCTCGGCCGTACCAGGGCATTTGGGGGCTTTTAATAATTAACTCTGATTTAAGTGAACCTTGGTTATTAGTTTAACTAACGAGTAGCCACTTCACTTTTCATAAATATATTTGATGAATACTGAGGGAATAACCATAAACCAAGAGTATCCTATCGCATGGGGCGGACGGTTTTGGAATTTACTGAGGTATTCACAATTTTCAAATGCTGTCTCTTTAGTTGGATTTGTTGTTGCAACAAAAATTAATTCCTTTGAGATGGACCTATCAATTGCAGTAAGTGTTGAGAACCATCAACACTAGGAATACTCAGTATTGTCAAATCGAATCTAATTAAGATTTATAGAATTTTAGCATAATATATATCACAGACCAAAGCTAATTTCAAACCACCACCATGCAACTCACCATCTACAGCAGATATTGTAGACGTAAGTAACAATTAAATACATTGGAATAAATACCTGCAAATGAACTTCGAGTGTCAACATCTGGAGCATCAGCTTTTTCGACCGAATCAGCACAAACGCAAAAACCACCTGGAACAATTATTTGAAGGTGCAATGAATAAATAAGTTCAGGACAACCAGAGTGAATTTGACTTCAAACACACATCAAGATTTTACAAAAGTAACCTCTAGGGAGAAGATACTATTTCTACTAATTCTCCAGGTAGTTTTCGCAATGAAAAAACTCGTGTCGAGATTATTTTGATTGTAAACGCAAATTACATTATTAATATTGAGTGATAGAGATAAAAGCCTATGATATGAAGCTCTAAGTTATGTTAGTGTTGTTAAGAAGTTTTAGGGCAGGATGAAACAGATGTTTTAACACACCTTGATGTTGGGTTATCCAAAATATGCACACATCTGACTGATAGTCAGAGGATGGCTGAGATTCAGGAACATGAGCAACTGATTAATGAAAACAGGGAAATCCATGAAAGTTAATGATAGGTCAGAGGTGATATGATATCGAGTTTGATTGACCTTTTCAATTAATATTAGTGTTAAAAATTTCTTTAGTATTTATTATGACAATATTTATTAATTCCGATCAATCTTTATTAATTTTCAGTGAACTTGATTCTTTATTAAATCATTAGTTTTGTTTGTTTGTGAAATTCTATACTTATAATTCTTTGATCCCAGGTCTTACATCGTCTATGAATGGCTGTAAAATCTGATAATCTTAGTAATTTGAAGATGTTGAGAAATAAAGTCAAGTCTCAACAAAAATCTCACGAATAACGTTAAAACAGGATATAAGGAGCGAATCGAAAACTATGAAGAAAAGAGAAGCAAGTGTGGTAAGGTATTACAGATATAAAAGATAATTTATGAACTTAATTTGCTCCAACGTTCTTTTGGTAGCTGTCTTGGTATGAAGTGAAATCAAGGAATATGCACTTGATAAATATCTTAATCTTAGTTGACTATTTGACCTATCACATGAAACAGAAATGCATCTGCTAGATAGCGTTTGAAACCAAGTATGTGAAGATAACGTCACCAAACTATGTAGATGTGAATGACAAAAGATGGATATAACAAAAGATCAGGTCTTTAGACTTTGTCATACATACCTCAGTTTGAGCAGCCAGATTTTTAATGGTTACACGGTCAGCAGATGAAACGATATCCACTTAAAAGTGCATGACCTATAAGATAGAAAAAGGTGGCCAGCATGATCAAAAGATCGCTAATGACCACGCATTCATAAAACTAATCCCTAATTTATTAAGATAATTTTACTTTTGTTTGGGGGGAGGTGGAAAACATCTTATAAACTGAACTTATATTGTCTTCCTTGGCCCACTAAATCAATTTCGGTTATTGAGGGTTAGGACTTACCTACTACCAGGTGTCCGTAACTTTATCAATAGAAACCTTGATATACATAAAGAAGGCTGAGCAAGGGTTCTTGGTCGACCTTAGTATGCTTATTAAGAAATCCTCAAGTCATCAAGAGGCGTTTGATAAAGTACAATGTGCGGAATTCAATAGTTCACATGCTTATTTCTGTGAACTACGCCTAGGCAAAACTGATAATGTAGTTACTCTTGTTTATGGTTGGAATGTGAACTTGGCAGTAGTAGGTACTGTACCAGTCAGAAAACTGAATGGTTGGCTAGAGAGTGAGATATCTAACAAGAAATATTATAGCCAATATACTAATCCAAGTACGAAAGTTCGGTAAATATTCTTAGACAAACGGAGAATGGTCGGAATGTATACTAAACGGTAATTTGGGAATTTCACATCTGAGGACATTTTCGAAAACTTTGAGAGGAAGAACTGATTAAGGCTAAGGGTTCTATCCGCATACGGAGTCATGAGACAGTGTAGTGCGTAGTACTGTCACCTGTTGATACGAACCTTTGACTAATTCTGATGGATCAAAAACAGAATCCAGGCGCAGGTTTCTGCCAGTCTTCCAGTACTTTGTATTCATGTGTAGAGTATATGCTGTACTCACAGACACATCTCCAACTGGTTAAGTCCTATTTGGATACCTTGTGTATAATCGGACAGTGAAACAATATTATCCGTCTACTCAAGGTTGAAAATTCGCCTTCCAGGTAACAGATATACATAGCCATTACCACACTCTCTTCAGAGCTGTTTCTAGAATGTCATCAAATAGGAAGATGAAGAATAGTAAAATTAAGAAGTTCTGTCTAAACTCACTACTTGGTTAGAACAATGGAGAGAGGTGATTGTAGTATGTGTAAAAATCCTCTCAGATGTTAATTATCTTGCATGTAAACCCATAATAACATAGTCCTATTTAATGAATCGAAGGTCGTCTTGACACTAAGGAACACAAAGACTGTTGTTCTGGGATAAGTGGTGATACTCCAACATTTGGAAGAGTGAAGGTATGATCAATATTTCCACCTAACCAAAGACTGGTTTCGTCGGATACGTCCTTAGATGTGACAGAAAGTGTAATACTTCAGAACCTCAGGCAAACAAATAAGGCGAAATTTCTATCCCCCCCCCATCTTAACGTAGACTATTTAAGGAAGATGTCTACCAGAAGGTGAAATTAGTAAACACCCCTGTGTAAAGCAGGTAACTTTTAACCTTTAACCAGCCAATTGGCTGGTTTTAAATCCAGCTCAAAGGTACCTCTCGAGCTGGAAGAGTGCAAGGGGCAGCGCGAATATAAGAGAAGTTCAAATAGTTCTGCAGTGTTGGGTCTCCAGTTTCTAGGTGTTACCTCTTAGATTAGAGTTGTGACTAAGCTCAAGATGTTTAAGGGGACAGTTGACAGCTTATGAAACATATAGAATACACTTACATACATAAATAAAACCATTGACAACAATTAAGAGGCACGGTAAAAAATTCAGCGAATTTTAAGGCCGCCAGTTAAGAGTAACAATCGTGACAAATCAGCCACGGGTTGAAATTACGCCTCACCTCAACGACCTTGAACGACTTTCCCCGGGGAGGTCAAATGGTTCAAATAGTCAAATGGTTCAAATGGTTGAGGACGGAATAGAAGTAGCTTTCGCTTAACGGGCTTCCATGTCTAGTACCAGTGGATCACCAATACCTCCAGGCAAAAACCTAGGCATATGAACGGTAATAGAGGAAAAAAAGATTTTGGTAAATCATAATAAGATGTTATCCTCAGTCCTTAAGAATAAGTCAAGTTTCCTTTTACAGGACTCCTGGGAGGACGCTTGGACTAGCTCAGTCGGCAGCGAATTCCAGCACTTGACAACTCTAACGGAGTAAAAGTTGTGTCTGCAGTCTGTTCTGTTATGTAGGGTCTCCAATTTCTGGGTGTTACCTCTCAGGTTAGTGTTATGACTAAGCTTAAGAAGATGTTTAAGGGGATGACCAGAAGTATTAAGGATACTGTAAGTCATAAGAAGATCACCTCTAAGACGCCTGTACTCTAACGGAAGAAGGTTAAGTGATTGGAGGCGCTCTTCATAAGGTTTGAATTTGAGTCCCCGAACTGATTTCGTGGCTCGATGTTGTATACGTTCCAGAGTGTACTTATGATTTTGGAGGGAGGGAGGAAATACTATGTTTCCGTACTCTAAATGGGGACGAATAAAACTGTTGAAGATTATGTGGAAGGTTCTACCGTCAAACTGGCCAAAAATGCGCTTCAATGTTATCAGTGCAAGGTTTGCTTGTGAGGCATTCTTGTCACAGTTACCGTACGACTTCAAGTCGTACGGTACCAAAACTCCTAAATCTTTTTCAACTTGGGATACTTCTAGAGAGGAGTTTCTCACGTTGTAACTATAGTCTGCAACATGTCTCCGATAGACTACTTTACACTTTGAAGAGTTGAATGTAAGTCCGTTGTCGTCTGCCCAACTTTGAAGTTGAGTCAGATCCTTTTGAAGTGCTAGTATATCCTGAAGATACCACCAGCTACAATCCTCTTGGTTACGTATCTCTCTCCAAAGTTTCACGTCGGCATCAAAATGCAATGTCAGACGAAATTTGTTGTGAAAGATCGTTAATGTAAATCAAGAAGAGAAGAAGTCCTAGTATTGAGCCCTGGGGGACCCCACTGGGGCATTCCATAGCCCGAGAGAGAATGAAGCTAACCCTGACCTTAAAATGTCGGTTTTCTAGATATTAAGTGAGCCAGTCAATCGAAGGTGGTTTAGTACACAATCATTTAAGCTTATTGATAACACATATATGGTTGGCCTTATCAAAAGCTTTTGAGAAACCAAGGTAAATAACATCAACATTCCCCTTACGATCAAGGATGCTTGTCCATCTGTCCACCGCAGTCAGCAGGTCAATTATACAAGGGTGATCCTTCCTGAAACCATGCTGTTGGGGTGAGAAATTTAGGGATAATAAGTAGTCGTGTATACCATCGCATGTCAGGGACTCTATAATTTCAGAAGGTATAGAGAGAAGGGCCACCGGTCGGTAGCTTGAAGGTTCGCTGCGTCCACCTCCCTTTATAATTGGTGTAATGTCAGCCAGCTTCCAGATTTCCAGTAGTTTGCCCCGGCTTGGCAAGTGTGCAGACATCACGCTAAGTGATGTCGCCAGAATTGAAGCTGCTTCACTCAGTATAGCAGAATGAACCGTATCCGGACCGGAAGAAGTGTCTTTTTCTAGGCGCCGCAGTTTATGGAACACCAGGTCAGCGCTCATGTTCGGAAAGTCCTGTGCAGTTTCAAATGAAGCCTTCATCAGTGTAGTTGATGTGGGTCGGTTGAAATGTCCGAGAGTATTGTTCAGTCCAAATCGGTGAGTATGAAATATACATATTCAAACTTCATTCCCGTATTTGGTTTACTTAATTCCGCTAATTACTAACGCCAGTTACGTCGATGATTATGTACCGATAGTGATCAGCAAACGACCTATCTGGAGCCAGATAATAGGCTACTAAAAAGTGTCTACGGTCATAGTTGAAAGATTCAAAACATAGGCCAGGGATTACTTCTTCATCAAGTAAGCATCAATATGGAAGTCTTTCCTGCCAACTACACATGACGGTTGGCCTATATGTGTTTGCAAGACTTTGTAGTGGTGTTGTTAACTGACTGCATGATTCTTGAGGCTGAAAACATAATTACTGAGGTTTACACCCAACATTTAACAATTGGAGCAGGTCGGTCACGTTGAACGCAATTAATCGACATGGCATGGCTCGGTCAGGCAGGTGCGTTTATTCTATCTAACCTCTTGCCTGCTGTGTCAAATATATCACTCTCTTCCCAGCCCATATGTGTTCTTCAGAAGTGCTATACATCATATCACTAACTGTCAAGATATGATAGAACGTTGTAGAGAATGATTTGACTTTCGTGTAAGAACCTATACATTAGGTATTCATATAGCGAATCTACAATTTTGGGATTAGGCCTGTTATTCTGGTAACCAAGATAAGTATACTAATATTGAACTACGCCACAATTCCACAACTTCTTTATAAAGCTTTCATTGTACTGGTCTTCTTTCACACACAGACACACCTGTACCTTAGATAGCATAGACCACCTATACATCCAAATCACATCAGTTTCTGAGTCCCTTTTTCCCATTTCTTCCTTTCTAATTCGGTATTCGATTCCTCTAGTGTGCATTACTTATGCTGGCAGGTGTGAGTAATATGCATGAGGAACTAGAAGAAGAATTCTTACTGCCAGAAGGAAGAACGATGGAGTTTGCAAGAAACAGTTAGAGAAATATGTGCAAACGGTGTATTTAACTCATAGTTCTCATGTATTACCAAATTAGTTTGTGATTTTGCACAATACAGCTAACTGGTTTATTCTAGTCTTCATTCATTACAATCTTAGCGACATGTTCATCTTCAGCTTTTATTTGAAGTAGACAGATAGCTCACAGGACCTTCTACATTGCTCAAGGAACGCTTACTACTATCGGAACAAATTGTCGTATGAACCGCACAGTTTGCTGCTCAGCTACCATGGGCCTGCATTTATATGCCCTGTAAACTATCACCTATCTAGGATACCACAAAGATTATAAGAAACATATTGATCATCATGTTCTAGTGAATAGCTATGTAGTATCTTCTTACGCTTGAAATACAATCTTAAAGTAGGCCCTCTTCAAAGCCATAGCTTTAACCAAGCACTTTCCAATCTCTTCTTTATAACGATTACAAACATTCTAAACAACTCAATTACATGAGTACTTAGCAGGTAGACCTCCACAAACACTACTACTAATCGTTCATGATTTGTTAATGCCTACTTTGAACAACTCCACTGGGCTTGCATCCTGTCAATAAACCCTTGTTGATAACCATATTATACAATACTGACCATGTCTATAAAAATGATATGTGACTGCCTTGTTGAAAATATCTTGTTATTGTTATTCATAAGGAGAAGTAAAGAGCTGAAAAAAATCGAGGTGATAGTTTAAAACTTCAAAATGACCGGCAGAAGCTATTTAAAAGTTTATAACTTTACAATCACTGATAAGCGCTGTTATACATATTGGTCACCGTGTTATACTGAACCTGTGAAGGTATTAATGTGATCACAAGAATGCTGCATAGGGTCTTCGGGATATCTCAGTGGCATAAGCTGTCGGCATCAACAGGCTTCAACATACACAAGCAAGATTTTCAAATACAACATACAGAACACCAACCCAATCACACTAGATGGCGAAATTCTGGAAGAGGTGGAAACATTCACGTACCTGGTAGGCATCATTGATGAATAAGGAGGATTGGATGCAGATGTAAAAACGATGATTGGCAAAGCAAGGACGGCATTCCTACGATTGAAGAACATATAGAACTCAAAACAACTGCCAACCAATATCAATGTGAGAATCTTCAATACGAACGTCAAGACAGTCCTACTGTACGGAGCTGAAACGTGGAGAACTACTACATCCATTGTCAAGAAGGTACAAGTATTTATAAACAGTTGTTTTCGCAAACATTCACTGGCCGCATATTGTCGGCAACAGCCTACTGTGGAAGAGGATAAACCAGCTTTCATTTGAAGGGGAAATTAAGAAAAAAACGTTAGAAGTGGATCGGACATACATTGAGGAAATCACTAAACTGAATCATGGGGCAAGCCCCAGCCTGGAATCCGGAAGGGAAGCGGAAAAGAGGAAGGCCAAAGAATACATTACGCCAGGGAATAGAAGCAGATGCGAAAAGGATAAATAACAACTGGAAAGGATTTCCATGGCAGGGTTGGATGGAGAATGCTGTTGCGCGGCCTATGCTCCTCCACGACGGGTAGTAGTCGTGAGTCCACTCCTTAAGGGAGGTCAAGTGTTGGAATTCACTGCCAACTGAGATGGTCCAAGCGACTTTCCAGGAGTCGTTTAAGAGAAAACTTGACATATTTTTTAAAACTGTAGACAAAATCGTACTATGATTCACCAACTTTTTTTTCCCTCTCTTTTATCGCTAATATAGCTATGTTCCTACCTGGAGGCATCAATGATCTGTAGCATCGGTTGGGATGTTGAGCCCACATGCCTCACTCTATCTTCTGGACAAGTCTATTTACCTGTCCATCATGAGTCATGTTTTCACCTTGTTAATTATTAACTTATTAATCCCGACCATTTTCATATGAGCGTAGGTGTGTGTGACCTTTTTATCTTACTTATCGCATGTCTGTCATTTATTATTGTCTAACTATAAATATCGATTATCGCTTAGTAAAAGTGAGTTGGCTTACCCACCATCTCCAATGTGTGTTATTCTTATTTCGCCCGCTGGTATTAACTCATGTGCTTATAACTTTCTGGCCTGCGGCATTTGTCAACAAAACTGTAGCTGCAGCTTCTCTTTGCCTTCTGATTTTATACACCGTTAATATTTGTATTGTGACGGTTATTTAGGTGAACGATTAGCGGAGCACAGCACTACAGATCCGCTGCTACTAGATACAGAAGCCCGTTAAGCGAAAGCCTTTTCTATTGCGTCCAGAACCATCTGAACAATTTGAGCTCTAGCGCCGTATTTTAGTGCTGAACGTAACGGCGGGTGGCTTTGAGTGACCTTCACCACCCCTGATATAAAATGTGGCCCTTATGCGAGCAATTTTTAGTTTTGAAATTAATGATCAGCACGTGCCTATGGTAGCTGAATTTCTATTAATTTAAAACATTTTTGTATCTCGTCAGGGACTTACTGCAAGGTTAATTCAAGCTATATAAAATAAAAGCTTGAATAAAACATTAAATATTATGAATTCATTACGAACTGACATCAGATATAATGCCAAAATAATATTCAGTCTTATGAGTGGATGACTTTCGCGTCAAAATTCAAGAACAGCTATCTTAAATATGAATGGTTTGTTTATAAGTTATAATCTCACCCAAGTCTTTCAATTTGTCGCAAAATGCATTTATCCTTATAGCTGAACAGCATTTTAGGTTAATGGATAATGTCAGTTCATGATAAAAACCCTGAATTCATTTCCCAACCCTAACTCCCAACCTTAAATCTTAATCCCAGTTCCTCACATTATTGTATATTCTTCTTCTAACAGTAGCAAGTAGGATATTCTCAGGGTCTCTTTAGTATCGCTCAAAAGTCGTCCATATATGATAGTCCCACCTGCAACAATATATTAGTGTAAATGAGAAAGGTCAAGTTTACATATTGTTAGGTGGGCTACTACTATAATCCATGGTTATAACCTTAAGAGGTTTTCGTAACCAACTGATATCAGCCATAATGCAATCATGATTTGTCACCCTTTTGTTTACAAAATCAAAAATCTTGGTGTTGAGTTAATGTGGGTAGGATTAAACTATACGACCGAGCCAATCAGAAGCTTTCGTGGGTTTTCAAGGTCACGGTGCCAATTTCTTTTCAAAATGCTTACGTACGACGGTTTTACAGCGGATTTTAACGAAGACGTTATAATTGACCGTCTTCAAGAGAAAGAATTTTTGATAAGTTCATATACTTGTGACTGTGGTAGTGAAATGACCATTGTACAGTGTGCAACCTGCCGAGATGATGTTATCTTTCGATGTTCTTCATGTTGGAAGAGAAAGTCAGCTCGAGCAGGAACTTTCTTCGCTCGATCGAAATTAAGGTTAAGGCAGATAATGATACTTGTTGCCGATTGGATAATAAAAGCACCAGTTACACTCGCGGCCACACTTTCCGATGTAAGTGGCGTTTCGGCAGTTCAGTGGTACGAGTATTGCCGAGAAATATGTGCTACAAAATTGACAAGCGTACACGAATCATATGGAGGAGTTGGGAGGATTGTTGAAATAGATGAAACAGTCGTAAGGAAACGCAAATTCAACCGTGGCCGCAGTATCAAAGAAGATTGGGTAAGTACCTCTTCCATAAATATACCTCACAGGTCCTTGGAATCTATGATAGATCACTAGGAAGAGGACATTTCCAAAAAGTCAGGAACCGAAAGGCACCGACAATAATACCGATTATACAACAATACGTGCTGTCGGGAACTATGGTATATACGGACAATTGGAGAGCCTACAGGTGCCTAAGTAGACTGGGCTACGTGCATGAGGTTGTCGTACACAAGCGTCACTTCGTAGACCCCACAACTGGGGTCCACACTAATAACATTGGAGGTATGTGGTCGAAGCTAAAAGAATTCTTGAGACCTTATCATGGTTCCAGAGGTCGACTACTATGGAGCCACATGGATGAGTTCCTGTATCGGATGCATTATGATTTTAAAACTTATGAACCAATATCTAACCTTGATAAGTTTCTAAGTCATGTGAAGGAACAATATCCCCTCTAATTTTTGAGTATTGTATAATATATTTTTACTTTATACTAACTGTCTTGTGGTAACATTAAACTATACTGCCGACCTTTGAATGAATCTTAAATGACCTTGAGAAATATTAGCCAATCAGAAGACAGTTAGTATAAAGTAAAAATATATTATACAAAACTCGAAAATTAGAGGGGATATTGTTCCTTCACATGACTTAAAAACTTATCAAGGTTAGATATTGGTTCATAAGTTTTAAAATCATAATGCATCCGATACAGGAACTCATCCATGTGGCTCCATAGTTGTCGACCTCTGGAACCATGATAAGGTCTCAAGAATTCTTTTAGCTTCGACCACATACCTCCAATGTTATTAGTGTGTACCCCAGTTGTAGGGTCTACGAAGTGACGCTTGTGTACGACAACCTCATGCACGTAGCCCAGTCTACTTAGGCACCTGTAGGCTCTCCAATCGTCCGTATATACCGTAGTTCCCGGCAGCACGTATTGTTGTATAATCGGTATTATTGTCGGTGCCTTTCGGTTCCTGACTTTTTGGAAATGTCCTCTTCCTAGTGATCTATCATAGATTCCAAGGACCTGTGAGGTATATTTATGGAAGAGGTACTTACCCAATCTTCTTTGATACTGCGGCCACGGTTGAATTTGCGTTTCCTTACGACTGTTTCATCTATTTCAACAATCCTCCCAACTCCTCCATATGATTCGTGTACGCTTGTCAATTTTGTAGCACATATTTCTCGGCAATACTCGTACCACTGAACTGCCGAAACGCCACTTACATCGGAAAGTGTGGCCGCGAGTGTAACTGGTGCTTTTATTATCCAATCGGCAACAAGTATCATTATCTGCCTTAACCTTAATTTCGATCGAGCGAAGAAAGTTCCTGCTCGAGCTGACTTTCTCTTCCAACATGAAGAACATCGAAAGATAACATCATCTCGGCAGGTTGCACACTGTACAATGGTCATTTCACTACCACAGTCACAAGTATATGAACTTATCAAAAATCCTTTCTCTTGAAGACGGTCAATTATAACGTCTTCGTTAAAATCCGCTGTAAAACCGTCGTACGTAAGCATTTTGAAAAGAAATTGGCACCGTGACCTTGAAAACCCACGAAAGCTTCTGATTGGCTCGGTCGTATAGTTTAATCCTACCGTTCTTTCTTGCTCCACAGGTTGAATTTTTTGCGATATTAGTAACCTGTAAAGCCATCCTCATCAATAATATGGTAACACAACCCCTATTTATCTTCCTATTTGATCATGAATCCAGGCATTTTTAGGATTCTCTAGCATCCTAAGCAGACTTTGTTTCATATCCCCTCCTGGACTTGTGTAGAGTCAGGACTTAAAAGTTCCTTGCTCTTCGATATTGAGATTTAGTTTTGTCAGCACACCATTGATCTAAATTTCTTTCATATTCTTTTGTGAAGAACAGTACAAATATTTTTTCCTAGTAGTAGTGGGTTTTCTTGATTTACTTAGCGTTATTCAAGGTACGTACTATCTGATGTCTCCAGTGTATAAGTCTGTAAAAACTGTAAGGGCATGTGTATGGTAAGCTCGTGTTTAGGAGGACAATCTACCGAAGACGCTGCATGTAAATTTGACAGAATATCTGATTTCTAAACGTCAAATCTGACTAGGGCAGACAAATAGATGCTAGTAGCGATCTAAAGAGTGAAGAATAACATCGCACGATTACTTACCCAGTGAAGGAGTGTTATCAAGGTTGATAGTAATTCCTTCATTTTAATTCTTGTACATTGTTAATTTCTGTCTACCACCATCATTATTGAATGTAAATGCATCCAATGTCCTTTGAGAGTTGCTGGTTCACGTCTTTTAACATTTCATGCCCTTGATTATGACGCCTTTCACTCACAACAAAACTCTTGGCTAGTCATAAACCTACCTACAGCTCGCTACTGCAATTTAAGTGAGCTCATTGAAGTCTAGTCGATATTGGTTCTTTTCTGTTCTTCGATTTTTAAACTTCAGTTTTGACCAGAAATGTCTACTTCAGTTACTGACTGGATATATATATTATTTCCATCTGGTATCTTGAAGAGATCAATTATCCATTTTGAGCTTATAGTAGTCCCACCAATTTTCGTAATTGTGTTTTTTTAAAAACGAGTTTAAATTTCTTACTTAGGTTATATTATACTCTGAAGAATTATTGCCAGTAGTTGAGAATTAGATTTCCTCACAAAATGGATCTAACTCTTCCTGAATTTAATCACAACTGCTTCAGTACTCCGGATCATTCTTCTGATAACTCCGGAAATTCTGTATCAATAAATCATAGTTTTGCACTGATTGATTGCAAAAATCCCCAAAATGAGCAGTTGCATGGTGCCATTTCTGTCAGAAATTGGATTAACTCTGCGGTATATTTCACGTAGTTTGTGACATGTTATCCTTCTTTAGAACAATGATTACTTGGAAGAAAACTTGGGTGATCTACGAAAGTGTTTGATGCAGAAAATTCTGGAGCTCAACTGTCATTCTACAAGTCATATACTAATTCCAGCAATTACGAAGTTGTATGAGTCTTTGATATGCTTGTACTTCAAAACCTCAAAACTTTGGTCACATCCATTAAGGTGGATTATAGGAGTATTAATACACGGTAATTGTTTCTTTTTCGAATATCTATGTGGTTTATGACGATCATTTAAATTCCACTTGATTATATGTGATTGTGTTTGGCTTAGTTAGGTTTTCACTTCTCATGGGAAAAGTCGCCTATTTGGGGTAAATATAACGGGATTCTTTCCATTGTACACATGGCAGCTTCACCATGAAAGTTAATCCAATAAGTTCTCTGTTTAATGGTTAGTAATACCTGGGATTAAGATCAGTCCAAATGGTTTTGATTATATTTAGTAAGACATTAAAACTGATTTCAACTTGAAAATTTGTAATTCAGAATTATACTCTGTGCCACTACTGGAAACAACATTGGCAGTCCGATTTTCATAAAAGCACTTTTTATAAGTCTCTCATCCTTCATAATCTTGAAGTATATTATTTGATAGATAGAAAAGCTATTTACTTTTACCAGGATATTCAATGATAAAGAAAGTCTTGTTTGTTTAGTTATTTTATTTATTTAAGAACGTAAACATTGGTACAAAAGGCCACCAAAATATACATTGAGTTTATGTGTGTGCTGGAATATTGCCTTGGTTCCAAAACCGAAACAGGTGGTTTTCCTAGTGAGCCATCTCCGATCCTTTGACCCAGATATCTAATCTATAAGGTAAGGGAGAAACGTTAGGAAATGCTGTCCCATGAGTCAGTGGACAAGAATAGGTTCATACTCTATTTGTTCCCTCAGGATCATTGAGTCCATGTGCATCATTACTTTGGAACCGTGGTTTTTCAAATCCTCTAGGTGGATCCTCCATACCCACCAACCCGGTTTAAACACCGAATATTCGCCTTCTGTCCTCATTTTTGTAAACAACATCCCCCACGAAGGCGGAGTAGGACTTGCCAGGACATCCCTATCAGTGGCTATATACAGACAGCCATACAAAAGCATATTGAGAGAGAGAATGCGAACTCTCCCCACTTCTCGTTCTGCATTTGGTGACCTAGATTGTTTGTATAATGTTTTGTATGCGATTCCTTATCAAGTCTAAATGAAATATCACGTTATGAATAATTTTTGTGAAAATCATAAGAATAAATACCTCTTAACGTAGCCAATACTGACTATTTGCCATTGAAAGCTTTCACCTAACCAGTGATGTTTTGGAAAAGTGTATTATATTTACGAAATACTTCTCAGAAAAGTTCTCGGCCGTCGGTGTATAATAGTACCGTCTGATCAAAAATAATAAACCTGAAGTTCGTAGTTTTCAGAATTTGTCAATGAGGTCGGACTATTAGTAGTATTAGTAATTGTAATATTAAAAGAAAAAAAGGGAATAGAAAGGAGTAAATTGAAACTCATGTTCTGGGAATGAATAAACAATGAACGTATCTCTTCCCCTTAAGATCCTCAACAATTGATCATGATTACTGAGTGGACACCAACCAGGTAGTCTACATAAAACGATACTCATGGACTGACGCCACGTTTCAGTTTGGCCACTCATACAGTGGTCTTGAGTACTGTTAGAGGTGTGAGGGCAGTTATCACTTCCCGGTCACCCACACCGTGGAAGGATTCTTCTAGAGGTACCTGAAAAGGAAATTGGGTTAGAAGTGGTCTTAATGACCTGAGAGCGTGACCGCAGTGCCCAAGGACAACTGCTTGAGGTCCGTCACACACGACCTTTTTGTGTTAGCTCCATTCTTTAAAGGACCTTACCGCCGGAGACGGAAATCCGTGGGATAAGGCGAGGTGTGCATTTTTAGGGTCGACCTTTTCTAAACCCACCCCTTGTTGTGGGAAGGCAGCATCGCTGTTATGCTGGTTGTCTGAAGGAAACGCCTTACTGCTGTCACACCTCTGTACAGTCAGCAGTACGACTTCGCCTTCGGACCTTGGGTTTGCTGTTTTTAGTTTTACCGCTCTTCAACCGACCTGCCTGGCATGGTAGGGCCTTGAGGAACGATTGTTCTAGCCGGTATAGCTCGATTGATTGAACTAAGGATAGGGAGCGAAGTAGTCGAACGCGTCGATAACTTCACTTATCTCGGAAGTCTGATCAACCCTAATGGGTTGGTGTCTGACGAAATCTCAACACGGATTCAAAAAGCTCTTTTGGCTTTTGCCAACTTACGTCACCTATGGCGAAGACGAGATATCCGTCTATCAATTAAGGGACGAGTATACTGCGCAACAGTCCATTCTGTTTTACTTTACGGCTGTGAAACATGGCCATTAAGAGTAGAAGTTACTCGTAAGTCACTTGTATTTGACCACAGATGCCTTAGAAATATTGCTCTCATCTGCTGGGATAACCGGGTAAGTAATAGTGAGGTTAGACGCAGGGTATTAGGTAACGATGGTAAATCAGTTGATGAGGTGATGAATCTTCATCGACTGAGATGGTTGGGCCATGTGTTACGTATGCCTGAACACCGATTACCACGACGCGCTATGGTGACTAGTGTAGGGGATGGTTGGAAAAGAGTTTGGGGCGGTCAAACCAAAACGTGGCATCAGTGTTTGAAGTCACTAACTTCTAGTCTGAGCCATGTTGATAGATGCGGACTACCTGGTTGGGGTCCGCGTGACTATCTTAACAAATGGTTGGAGACTCTGGGTGACATGGCTCAGAGCCGATCACAATGGTGTAGGTGTATACACTCTTTATCTTTCCTTAAACCTTAAGATTAGAATTGCTTCATAACGCTCTTCCTTCCTATACTATATCCTTGTTTACAACCTATCTTTTATATAATACCACTGCTAAATTAACTACTATGAATCCGATGTTGATCTTGTTGTGCTAACGAGATATGGCAACTTGGACCGATGCATATATGTGCCTGGTCCTACGTTGTAGCTGACTGACTTGGCCACTCATGCGTGTCAGTATGCTTTTATACCAACCAGTATTACACATCCAAGCAGGCAATGATTAGGTATGTGTAACATGTCCCACTTCAGCTACCTCAGTCTAGGAGGATTCACAATATCATCTGATTCACCATTTTTTCTTAGTACTCTACGTCTAACTACAGTATTGTTCACTGGGCTTTCTCATTCTGCACGAGCGATTCTTCGAATACATTTTTGGTCGAATAATAAGCCACCTTTCATAGCCACAAAGTAAAGCAGAGGACTAGTGAGGATTATACTCTCCCTTCAACAGACAGGCAAAAGTCTTACCTACCCCTTTGGTGGTACAATTTCGTGGAAGTTCAGCGAGCTTTCTTCACTCGTGTTAAAATTTTGTCAAACGCCGACCCAACAGGGGTGATAAGACCTTCAAGATAGTGAAGTGATCAACCTACTCGAATACTTCACTATATACTGTCAAACAAAGCATTGATTCAGACCAATCCCGAAGCAGCATTTTACATTTAGAGAAAGTGAAATAAATCGCTAACATTCTAGTGTTGCCGCTTATAGTTCTGTATTGGATTAATGGGTTGTAAACTTTCGTTCATTTAATAGGTCAGGGATTATAATACGTATTCGTTTTATGATGATCAGCATATGAGTAGGCTTAAAGAGATTAGAATGGTCAGACCGAAACTGTCAGTTCTTAAGAACAACAAAACGTTATCTATAGGATCAACTGTCAGGGCTTCAATGCAGCTTATGTAAGAGAAACTTCCAGACAACCGAGTGTGAGGTTGAAGCTATACAAACAATGTTTGTAACGTGTTCCCGAATCCTCGGTTGATCTGAAGAAACTTGAGAATAAGTCGCCTACAGCGTTACATCTGTTAGAGACAGGGCACAAGATTAATATTGAAGGGACCGAAATACTTCAGAAAGGGTTTGGCACACATAAGGGAAGATTGACAGCAGAAGCGCTGTATCTGTGAGCTAATAAGAACAATCTGAACAGCAAAGATAGCATTCAACTAGCTACCACATGGCATATGTTCATTAACCATACTTGTTTAACTTTGTCGTTGACATGCTTTTAGAGATATCACTTTCATCATTTCAATCTCCAGGAGTTGAACTTTTACCAGGAGGCTCACTTGTTGACTTAGAATACGCCGACGACATAGTTTTATTCGGTGAAGACTCTGACAAAATGCAGAATCTTCTGACCACTATAAGCAACAATGCAGGCATGTTCGGGATGCGATTCTCTCCCTCGAAGTGCAAAATGTTACTTCAGGATTGGGTTGCATCGACACCTGAACTAATGATAGGGAGTGAAGTAGTTGAGCGTGTCGACAGCTTCACTTATCTTGGGAGTCTAATCAGCCCTTGTGGTCTGGTGTGTGACGAAATCTCAGCACGGATACAGAAGGCTCGTCTAGCTTTCGCCAACTTGCGCCATTTATGGCGTAGGCGAGATATCCGTCTACCAACAAAAGGACGGGTTTACTGTGCAGCAGTCCGTTCCGTCCTACTTTATGGCAGTGAAACATGGCCGATAAGAGTAGAGGATATTCGCAGGCTACTAGTGTTCGATCATAGGTGTCTTCGACGCATTGCTCGTATATCCTGGGACCACCGGGGTAAGTAATGCAGATGTTAGGAAACGGGTACTAGGTAAGGATGGCAAATCGATTGATGAAGTAGTGAAACTTGATCAGTTTAGATGGCTGGGACATGTGTTACGTATGCCCAACCACCGACTGCCCCGACGTGCAATGCTTTATGGTGTAGGAGCAGGTTGGAAGAAAGCTAGGGGCGGCCAGATCAAAACATGGCATAAATCCATGAAGTCACTGACAAGTGAACTGGGCCATGTTGGTAGGTGTAGACTACCTGGTTGGGATTCGCGAGATGATAGCAATCGATGGTTAGAGACCTTGAGTGACATAGCTCAAAATCGTTTGCAATGGCGCTGGTGCATTCACTCTTTGTGTTCTGCCAAATTCTAATCTGAATTCTTCATGTCCGTATCCTTTTTCTATTTTCCAAATTTATTTCACTGTATTATATTCCTTCAATAACATCTTCAAACCCTTATCTTTCACATAATACTTATACTCTTACTACTTTTACCACTATGGGGTTTGAATCGACAACTTCAT